AGTACTTTTGTAAGTTACCTGTTATCTTTTCTTTCTTTCTTTCTTTCTTTCTTTCTTTCTTTCTTTCTTTCTTTCTTTCTTTCTTTCTTTCTTTCTTTCTTTTTTTTCAGAACCGGGGATTGAATTCAGGCCCTTGTACTTGCCTGGGAAGCACTTATTCCACTGAGCCATCTCCTCAGCCCCACTTGTTATCTTTTAACAACTTACCAGTCCAGTTATTTAAATATAAGATGACCAGCAACTGCATAGTTTTTCATTATTTTTTTATAATAAAATATAACAGAAAATATAAGAATGACAATTTTATCCAATTTATTTGATACAAGAATTGACTGGCTGAAATGATACCTGCTCAAATAATGCTCAAGATAATATGTAAACAAACACCCTTCCCAAGTGATGCTTAGGATAAACTGTTAAGTAGTTAACAAAGTAGTAGTTTTGGGTAAAACAGCATAATAAAATGTATTATTTGCAACAAAGAACATTAACTGATGCAGGAATCAGCCTAAATCTTTCCCTCTCCTCCTATCCCAGAGCCAACAGAATTTACAGGGTGCTAGTGCCGGGGATTGAACCTAGGCCCTTTCACATGCTGAGCACATGCTTTACCACCGAGCTACCTCCTGTCCTTTATCTCCAGTATTCCTCTCCCCTCCCCTCCCCTCCTCTCCCCTTTCTTCTCCTCTTTTTTCTTTTTTTCTTCTATACTCCTCTACTCTTCTTCTCTTGCCTTCCTTCTCTTCCTTTTATTTTTTCTTTGTGATAATGGAGATTGAATTCAGAACTTTCACACTGAGCTACAGATCCAGTTCTATTTATTTATTTAATTTTATTTTGAAAGAGGGTCTCCTTAAACTGTCTAGGCTGGGCTCAAGCTTTGGATCTTCCTGCTTCAGCCTTCCAGAGTGCTGGATTATAGGCGTGTACCACCACACCTAGCTTCACCTCCAGTTATAGCCACTCATAGCAGCCCAAGAGATCTTTCTAAAATGCAAATCTGATTTTATCACTCTTTGGCTTAAGATACTTTAGTGGCTGATACCCGTAGAATAAAATTAAGGCTCACATCCAAATTCTTTAGCACTGGTTCTCAAAATCTGGTCCTGGCTGACCTTTCTATTTCATTTTCACCAACCTGCTTCTCATATCTATGTTCCAATTATCTTTTTTGCTGAACTTGACCAGGAGCAAAGGAATCCATTGATATCTTGCTAAAAATGCAGAATCTCAGCCCTACTTCAGACTTACTGCATCAGAACTAGAATTTTAACAAGATCATTAGGTGATTCATTTGCATACTGAAATTTCATTACTGTTGCTTTATAGCACTGTACTCTTTTCTTCCCTGGATTTTACACAGTTTGCTTCCTCTATTAAATTAGCCTCCTTTACATGCTGACTACTATTCTGCAGGAATCCACCAGATGGTCTCTTATCAAGGAAAGGTTTTTGACTGGCATAGGATGGGTTGAGTAGCATCCATCCCTTTAGTACCTCCACCATAGCTTATTACTTTGTGTTCTAATTACCTCTTTACTCCTTTTCTATTTCTATTAAACAGGGGTTTGTCTCCTGGTTGTACTTTAATCTGAGAACTTACAAAAATACTGATTCTTATGTCTTGCCCTTAGAAATTTTGGTTTTAATTGATTTGGGTAAGGTCTGGACACCAGAATTTTTAAAAGCTACTGCAGATGATTATAAAGTAGAGCCACATTCAAAATAGTTACATTAAACTTTAAACTCTGTGGGGACAGACAGTGTCTTATTGACTGTTTGTTATAACCCTGGTCCCTACTTAGTTCCAGGGACATGCATTATAATAGTTACATGACTGTGGCCTTAGTTTTTCAGGAATAAGTAGCCAGTTTTGCATTTTGTACACATCTTACCTTGTGCACTAACCTTCTGTATGTATGTCAGTAGTTAGGATGCTTACTCGTCTCATTAAGATGAAGAGTTATTTCTTGAGGCAAGAGCTTGGGTTAGCATTTTAAACACATCTCTAATCACCCCTGTATTCTGTGTTTGAGCCAGTTTGGTGCTAATAAAACAAAGCAGGTTTATATAATTGGATGCTAATAGGAACTTCAGGTTAGACACTGTCTCCATGCATTAGTTCTACAAAACAAAGCCACTAATTCTTTGTGTATAAATCTCTTGGGTCCTGTGAATTCGAACTAGCAAGGAAGTTGATGAAATCAACAGGTATATTTTGTAAATGTTAACTATAATTTTATAGGAGGTTAAAAATGGATGTGAGGGGTTGGGAATTTAGCTTAGTGGTTCAGCACCTTCCTGGAAATGAGGTTCTGAGTTTGATTCCTGTTACCCCTACCCCCCAAAAAATAAGACTGTGAGGAGAATTTTCTTAAGTTTGTACTTTATTTCTTGAACATAAAATAACTTCTTTTTAAGACAAAGTTTTAATAATATATTTATATAGTGTACTATAGTATATAGTTTTAATTTTTGTAATTTTATATATTTTGCTTTCCAATATTCAACTTTCATTAACTTTTATTGAATTGTAGCTACAATTGTAGAGTTTATAATCTACTAAGCTGAGAGGTGGAGCAATGCACGTTACAAAATTTTACAAGGGTTGGGAATTTAGTGCAAAGGTCCTAGGTTGAATCTTCAGGCCTAAGAAAACTATGCAAGCCACACATTCCAGTGTGGGTTTTTTTGTTTTATTGCAGCAGGTTTGAAGAGGAAGACAAAAGGCTCTGTCTGTCATCACCTGCAAAGCATTGTTTTTGTTGCAAAGGCTCCTAAATTCAATCCAATAGCTTCGTTCTTTAGTCCTGCATCATAGAACTTCAGTGACTTTGTCAGGCCTTGGAGAGTGCAAGGAGGGATGAAGTGCCAAGCTCTTCTCACTGCAGGGCCACTCAGAGCCAGAGCGTGGGCGTCGACCCCAACCCTCCCTCTAGGGAAACTTTTAGTCTGTAAAGCTTCAAATAAGGGTTAACAAAGTTTTTATTTATCCATATTTCAAAAAGCTTGAAGCAAAATTTGGAAACCAGGCAAGATAAAGTGACATTGTTGTTACTATTATAAAAGTAAATGCACTATGACAGGCAGATTCTTGTATTTTAATTACCCTAGGCCCATGTTTTAGAGACAGCTTAATCTGTAATTATTTAAAAAGACACTTAGTATATCTATACACTTAAAACATTAAAGTATAACTATCTGTGTTATCTGTTTGCTAGAAGATTCTGTGACAGAAAATTTAAATCCATGGATACTATTGCCGTTTAGAAATAGATATTCCTAACTTCAAAAATTAAAGGTTAAGAATCTTGTATGTACCATTTCAACATATGAGGATGACAATAATTTCATTTTTCATTATTATATATTTGTGATTTATAATGATCACATTTATCATAGGGAATTTGTCCCTATACATAATATGTCTCAATTCTTTCTTTTCCCATTTCTCTCCTCTCCCTTCAACCCTTATGACAGTAATTTTAAAAAGGAAAATAACATGTTAAAGATAGGGAGAAACTAAAACATTTATATATTGTTAGTGGGAAAGTAACATGTTTCCTCATAAAATTAAACAAAAAATTACCATTTGACCCAGTAATTCCACTCTTAGGTATAAAATAATTATAAAACAGGACTCAAACAAATATTTTCACACAAATGTACATGATAACATTATTTACAATAGTCAGAAAGGAGAAATGACCCATGTCTCCGTCAACTGATAAGTGGATTTAAAAAGTGCCACATATATACCATGGAATATAATTTAGACTTAAAAAGAGATGAAATTCTGATACATATTATAACATAGATAAACCTTAAAAACACAACGCTAGATGAGATGAACCAGACCCCAAAATATTATATGATTTCACTTACATAGAGTATCATGAATAGGCAAATAACAGAGACAGAAAGCAGATTAGAGGTTGCTAGGGAATGGGGATGGAGGAATGAAGAGTTATTACTTGGTGGGTACAGTTTCTCTTTGGATTGATGAAAAATTTTAGAACTAGATACTGGTGATGGTTGTAAAACATAACAAATATAATTATACCAATGACGTATACCTTAAATAGTGAAAATGGTAAATTTTATATTATATACATCACGTTTCAATATGACCTGTTGTTTGTCTACTTCAAGTCCTTTCAATATTATGGCTTGTGTTTAGATGCCTCCCCAAAACCTCAAGCAGTTAGAGATGTGGCTTTTTCAGAGATGGCTGGTTCTAGAGTATGTCATTGATTGATGGTTCAGTGCTAGGACTAAGGGTGTGTGAGTGCTCAATTAGTTCATGATTGGTTTGGCACCCACCCTAAGCTTGGTTGCCTGCATAGAATACAAAAGAGACAGAAAGAAGCTGCTATTGTCATTTGTCTTTGTTGTCTTCTGCTTTCCATGAACTGTTTCTCCTCTGTGGTGCTCCTCTGCCCTGCCACCCTGCCTTGGTGCCAGCTGACTATGAGCTCAAACCTCTACAAGAGGTGAACCAATAAACCTTTTCTCTGTTAACTTTGGGTGTCTGGTATTTTGTCTCAACAATGACAAAAGTATGGGGTCGGGGAGATGGCTCAGTAGGTTAAGTGCTTGACTGGCAAACTCAAGGATCTGAGTTCAATCCCCGGTTCCGCCAAAAAAACCACAAACAAACAAAACAACAACAACAACAACAACAACAACAACAACAAAAAACACCAAAAAACAATGACAAAAGTAACTAAGATAATATTCATAGATCTAAGTAAAGATCTGTGACCATAGATCTAAATAGACAATTTAGATGTCCTTTTTTTTTTTTTTTTTTTTTTTCAGAACCAAGGATTGAACTCAGGCCCTTGCACTTGCCAGGGAAGCGCTTATTCCACTGAGCCATCTCCCCGGCCCCTAGATGTCCCTTTAATATAGGGAGTGTAGTATATAATAGCAGGAATTACAACTCTAGTGATACAATCAAGGGAGTCCATGTTTATTAAAATGTCAAGAACTTAAATTCAATCTTCTGGATTTAGATTTTGTGTTCTTTCTGCAGAAAATTCATCCCTGAAAGTTGACCTAAACAGAGTAAGGATAGATTTCTTGAAAACATTTTTGAAATTCTCCCCAATAAATAGATAGAGTGTGGGAGAAAATACATTATTGAAAGATGCTGTCACCACTGTAATTATCAGACTCAACTCTAAAAGTAGTGACTTGTTCTCAGTGAGAAGTAAGCCCTGATATACATGGTAGGGCATCCAACACACAAAGAAAGAGACAATGGCAGTCATCATAACTTTGAAGGGTTTCCTGGATTTAAACAGACCCCTCTCTTTCATTTTGCTGGCTACTTTTCTGTAACAAAAAGTGATAATAATGAAAGGCAGAAAAAACCCCAGCAAGAAACGGCTGATGAAACAGGCCACATGAATCTGTCGCCTTAGCACTTGCATCTCTTTGCTTTCCCAATTACTAGACACAGCATAGTTATTTCGGCAGATCACCATTCCTTTATGGTCATGATGTGTCTCCCTGAAAACCAAATAGGGTAGATTGAGGGCAGTTGCAGAGATCCAGATTCCCAGGATGATGCTGGAAGCTCCGCGTGGGGTTCGGTGCTCTTGGGACCATGCCGGGTGAAGAGTGAGAAGGTAACGATCCAGACTGATGGTGGAGAGGAAGAAAATGGAGGCAAACATCACCACAGACAAAGTGCTGTTGAGCACCTTACACAAGGCAGTTCCAAAGTTCCAGTTATTGTCCTGAAGATAGGAGATGGCTAAAAATGGCAGGATCAATGTTGAAATAAAATAGGAGAGAATGAGATGGAAGAATAAGAGGGTATTAACTGTCTTTTTCATCTTGAACTTTAACACCCATAGGTAGAGCCCGTTGGTGATGGTACCGATTATAGACGATATGAACAAAGGAAGGGCAATGATGAGCTTTGAGGCAGGAGATGGAAAGTGAGTGCTATTTCTTACTAAAGTAGAGGCATTGATCAGGTAATGGGTAGAGGTGATCAAGTCCATGATTACCTAAGGAGATAGAAACAGTGAAAATGACAACTACAAAGCAAAAGCTTAAATGTAGATAAAAAAGAATATTTTTTACTTCACAATAGTCCAAATGATGTTTTTAAGAGTGATAAATATTTCTATAATAATTCAAATACTTGTCTAAGTCCTACACTTTTATATTCTATGTTAAGATCAGATTAAAATTTGAACGTGGAAAATAGAGCCATGTAGGTAGAATAAATGTGAAAGACAAATAGAAATTGGGACATTTTTACAATGATTAAGTAATTTATGCATTTAAAAATCTTCTATTGGGCTTTAATCAGGAATCTGGTCCTTTTTAATGGACACAAACTATTTGAATAAGGCAATTTAGAATCAGTTTTACTTGAATAAGAAGACTTGATAAGGATAGATGTTGTTAATGAAATAAACTTAAACAACAAAAATAACAGTAACATAGATCAAGGGATGCCATATTCAGATTTCACTCATAAGCTATCAATATATAGAAAATACTTTTAGTTAGAATGTTAATGCTTAACACATAACAATAAGACTTGCTTTTCATATGCAAGCCTTAGGTCATGAAAGACTGTAAAGTGGCTTCAGACTCATCAAAGAGGAAAGTGTGCTACAAAGTATAGTTCTTTTTTACTTATGGAGGAGATGAGAGGGCAAGAGGTTAAGGGATTCATATTTGTCTGATACTTGTTATATGCCAGGACCTTTCTTTCTTTCTTTTTCTAAAAATAATTTTATTGAGAAGCAAACAACAATGAGACAGTTTCAAAACTGATTACTAGCACAGTTTCAATAATTAACACATTGCATATTGTTGTCTTAGTGGTTATTCATTGTACAAGATGCAGACATGATATCCTGTCCACAAATACTATTAGAACAAATCTCTCTATTTATTGAATTAAGAGAATGCAGCTGTGCATCTATCCTAAATATTTTGAGTATAGAGATACAAAACGCTCGTTCAATTGTATCCCCCTTTCTGGTTTGGTTTTTTCAGAAAAGGGTATTCCATTGTCATTTAAGTATTATAGGTGCGTGAATTCAGCAAAATGTTCCAATATAGTCCAGTAATATAGTCCATAATTGTAGTGGGCTTTCTGTAAGACTAGCAATGTCAGAAGTTGTTGACTTGAGCCTTTTACAACTCAGCATATTAATATGGATTTACTTTTTATACTTCATTTTTATATTTTTCTGCTCAGTGGTTAAGACCAAGATAAAGCAAGACCTATATATCAAGAAATGTGACTTTTGTATCTGATAAGGTCAGTCAAGTCCCCTCAGGATTTATCCTGAAATGCTGTAGTGCAGTTCATAGATCCTTTGTCAGTGTCAGCCATGTGGATGAGTCAAGGCCATTGCTTGACCACTTTGCTCTCTGTGAATGCCTGAGAGAATGTTTTCTCTCCGTGTAACTCTCGTTAGGCACACTCTACATCATCTATCACACTCCTTTGTGGCCTCATAATCTCCTTGATCAGAAAATTTGGAACACAACTGAGTTACATGATGTTACAGTATAGCTTCTTTGATGTCTATGCCAGGATCTTTCTATGAAAGTCATTCCTTCTTTCCCCACAAAGTCCAGGAGTCAAATTTTCAAACAAAGGAAAAAGTGAGGCTTAGAAGGATTAACTTTCTTGGTGCTGGGAAAACTGATTATCAATATGCAGAAGAGTGAACCTGGATCAATTATCTCTCATCATGTACTAAATTAAAAATGGATCAAAGATCTAAACATTAAAATAGAAACAATTAACATACTGGAAGATAAAATAGGTAAAACTCTTGAAATTGTAGTTGTAGGCATGGCATTTATGAACAGAACTCCAATTACACAAGAAGTAACAGTAAGAATCGACAAATGGAATAATATCAAATTAAAATCTTCTGTACAGCACAGGAAACAATCTACAGGGTGAAGACACAACGTATAGAATAGGAAAAAAATTTACCAGGTATTCCTCTGATAGACAACTAATATCTAGAATATATGGAGAACTTAAAAAGTCAAGTCACTCAAAATGAAAGACTCAATGAAAAAATGAGCAAGTGAAATAAATAGATACTTCTCAGAAGAAGTACAAATATCTCAACTGTTATGGAAATCAGTGTGGAGACTCCTTAGAAAACTTGGACTGGAAATCCCATTTAAACCAGCTATTCCTCTACTGGGAATTTTCCCAGAGGAAATGAAAACATCATATCATAGTGATATATGTGTGCCTATGTTTATAGCAGCACAATTTGTGATAGCCAAATCTCAGAAACAACCAAGATGCTCATCACCTGAGGAATGGAAAAAAAAGATGTGGTATTTTTATACAATGGAGTATTACTCAGCTATAAAGAATGATAAACTAGAAGTCTTTATGTTGAAGTGGATGCCACTTGAAGATATACTCATAAGTGAAATAAAGTAGACACACATGTGTAAATATCATATAGTTTCCCTAGTATAAGAACTCAAAAGAAGAAATACAAATAGAAAGGTTAATACAACTAAAAGGAAAGCAAGAACTTGAGGACTAAATAATTAAGAGAGGGAAAGGAGAAGAGCTAGGAAATATGACAGTCAAGCCATACAGTTATATGTAGAAGATGGGTAAGGCAATGATCCTAAGAATCTTCAGATGATTTTTTAATCTAGCAGTTAATTGGAAAGATTCTCACCTGACTAACTATATATACTGACACCTGTGAACTAAGCAACTTCACTGAATATGGCAATTTGTAATAGTAGGTTCATTCTTGGAGTGCCTGTCATTCTGGTATTCTGAATACAGGCTACTCTTCATGACATGCCAGTTGCTGCTGTGCCGTCTCTCAGGTAGATGATTGTTCAAAAAGAAGGGGGTGGTGAATGAAGGCAGGAGACAAGAAAAGGAATGTTGCGGGACTGTCCTGCTTCAAGGTTGTATATGGTTAGATTTTTGGACTTATGTGTAAACATAAGAATTATATAATTCCTTATGCTTATTTTCAAAATATATTTTAATTTTTTAATGTTTTTTTCATCATATTCTGTAGGGACTTAGAGTTCAACATATCAATACTTAATGAAAAATACATGTTCTATATTATGCCTAAGATGTTTGATATTCAGACAGATAGTGAGGTTAAGCTTAACAGCCTAGGTTGTATGGTAATAACAATAAGCTTCTCTTCTGGATGGCTAACAACCTGTTTGCAGACCAAAATTAGAGAAAAAAGAGGGCTGCAAGGAAAGCCAACATTTTGGCCCTAGTCTTCCAAGGTCAATTAAGACTCAGGATATAAGAGAACTTGTACTCTAAGGTCATGTAACTCAGTAATGTCCCAAATTTTCTGATCAAGGAGATTATGGGGCCAAAGAGGAATGTGATCGATGATGTAGAGTGTGCCTAAGGAAAGTCACATGGAGAGAAAACATTCTCTCAGGCTTTCACAGAGAGCACATTGGCCAAGCAATGGCTGTGACTCATCCACAGGGTGACACTGACAAAGGATCTACAATCAGAGGTACAGGATCTCAGGATAAATCCTGAGGGGATTTTACTGACCTTATTAGACCCAAAAGCTACAACTCTTTTGCATAGGTCCTGCTTTATCTTGGTCTTAACCATCCAGCAGAAAAATATAAAAACGAAATATAAGAAGTAAAGCCATGCTGTTATGTTGAGCCGTAGGGGACTCAGGTCAACAATTTCTACATTGCCAGTCAAGTGGAAGACCCAATGCTATTATGAACTACTGGACTCTTTTAGAATATTTTGCTGAGTTAACACACCAATAATATTCAAATGATGGAACTGAACAAAAAAGGGGATACAGATGAATGTCCATTTTGTATCTGTGTATTCAAAATGGTTAGGATAGATATATAGTTATATTCTCTTAATGAATAGAGGGATTTCTTCTAATAGTGTTTGTAAATAGGATATCATGTCAGTGTCTTGTACAGCAAATAACCACTAGGAAGAGAGTATGCAGTGCATTAATTATTGAAACTGTCCTACCAATTTGATTTGAAACTGTCTCGTCGCTATTTGTTTCTCAATAAAATTATGGAAAAAATAAAAAATAGATAATAAAAAAGTCTCATGATAATATGAAAAAAATGTTCAACATCTCTGTGCATCAGAGAAGCACAAAGTAAAATATTAAGATTTTTATCATACAACAGAAATAACAGCTGTCATCAAAAAACCAAATAATAACAAATTCTGGTATGGCTGTGGTGAAAAGAGGAGCCCTTTATCAGTGTTGGTGGGAAAGTAGGTTAGTACAGTGGTGCCTCGGCTCACAAATGCTTTTGTTTGCAAAAATTTGGTTTGCAAACAGAATTATTTGTCAACATTTGTTCTCATTTGTAAACTCTAGATTGGGTGGCAGACATGACCAAGGCTATCTCTCTCATATCAGAACAAACACGGTCATCTTTTCCAAAATCATAGAAAAAATTAAGTTTTGTGCACAAAGTGCAATTATGAAAATCAGTTTGGAGATTTCTCAAAAAACTAAAAATAGAAATTTCATTTCTGTTTCCCTTCTAGGTATCTTCTCAAGAGAGTTAAAGTCATCATATTGTAGCAATGCATACATACCAGTGTTTATAGTAGCATGATTCATAATAGCTAAATCCTGAAACAGTCTGTGTCCATCAACAGACAGGTGGATAAAGAAAATGTTGCATCTATTCATAATGGAATACTACCTGTCTAAAAAGCAGCATAAATGCCAGGTATTTTGGGACAATGGATACACATGGGAAACACAATGTTAAGTGAAAAATCAGACACATGAACTTAAATGCCATGTAGTTTCTCTCATTTAAATAATGTAAAGTATAAATAAAGAGCAAAATTTAAAATTTGATGAAAGGAAACAAGGAGATAGATGTTTGCAAATGGAAATGGTCGTGACATATCAAGAATGAGGGTAGGAGAGAAGAAGGGGACATAAAAAGATTTAAAATGTGGCATCTGTATGTACCAAGTACAATG